TTACAATGCTGAGCTTACTATACTAGTATGTGTCAGGCACTGTGCTAGATGGACTATGGAGTCGCTCACTCACTCATTCAACAAATACGTGTTGAGTGTTTCCTATAAGTCAAGCACTCTGCTAGTTGCCGGGGATGAGGGTAAAAATGAGACAAAGCCCCTACACTCTGGGAGTTTAGGTTTTACTGGAGGAGATAGACAGCAGACATGTAAACACGGATAGCTTCTGAAGAGGTGATATTTGAGTTGAAGACCTAAATGATAAGAACACAGCCTTAATTAGAGCTAGAGGAGGAGTAATCAAGGCGGAAGAAACACAGCAGCCCATGAGAAAGAGATTATTGCTATTATCTTCATTTTATAGATGAGGAAACTGAGGAGTCAGTGTGAATTACACAAAGCCACACTACTGAGAAAACTATTATTCAAGTTCCTAGTAACCTTTCCCCTTTCTGACATTCCACAACTGGCACAGAAGAGGGTCTCGGTTGGTAATGCAGTTGGCGAGGGAGAGGGTGCACACTGATGATGCAGACTGAGGATGTAGCTTATGGTGGAAACGATTTGGTTTGGCAGGGGTCCAGGGCACCTGTAGGACGCAGCCAGTAGGTCTGTCCTCTTCTGCTTTGGAGTCCACACCACAGATTTGGCACAGTTTGCCTGGAACCATTCATCGAGTGTTTTGGGTCTACTCCTACTGCTTCAAATGAGTTTGCTTCCTTAGAGACAGAGACATTTTTTGTAGCCTAACCTGCATCTAATAACAACCCTTCATGTTCATTGAGACCTGCCTGGCTGAGTCTTTGCCCAACCCCAGGCCCTGTGCCAAATACTCAAAATGAAATAAACCAGTCTGGGCCTGCAAAAGAGCTTTGACACAGTGGCTTTAGCATCAGATATATCTCAGTACAAGATGTTCAAGGTGTGTTACTGTGGACACATTATAGAGCCTCTTGAAGCTCTGGATTTTCCATCTTCACATTAGAACAGTTGTGAGGGTCAAACAAGACGATTATGTCAAGGGCATAAACATAGCACCTGGCACAGAGCCAGCAGTCAACATAGACTCTGTTATTATTACTAAAAAACACTTTTGTGTTTCACTTTCTGGCTTAAGCCTCACTTACTCTGGTAGGTTGATATTACTAAGATTTATGAATGAAAACTTGAAGCTGATTTGCCTGGTGTTACGCAAGAAATCAAGCTAAGTTTCAAATCAGAGTTGAGTTTTATCTATGGGTGTGTTGAAGGAGATCAATACACACTAACTAGAATAAACCTTGCCTGGCATGTCCGGGAACTAAAATCAGTAATGTATAGTTTGATGACAGAAGGACACCGGCCAGGCCCAAGGTGTGGGGCATAAAAACATACCACTGAGGCCTGTTGCTCACTGCAGTATCCAGTGTCCCTAGCATTCAGCACGTATAAAGCATTCATCAGTATTGGCGGATTTAACAAATGAAAAACTCTGAAGACATTTCTGAGCAATTAACTAGCCTTAGGGGAAGCAGGCAACATCGATAATACCTACCTGCATTACAAATGAGAACTCGGATTCTAAATCTGGCTCTGCCATGTACGGTGCCGCTTAGTTTCCTCCCTGAACTGGGACTGACCACCTAACCTACCGCACGGTAAAATGGTGTGCACAAAGAAGTCTGGTAACTTATAAGGTATTATCATGCACATAAAAAGCAATTATCTCCAGACAATCAGGCGGTAAAGGATGAAGTCAAACACCTGGAGTTTGAATCCCAGGTCCTCCTGGCACTAGCCGATGAGGCCCTGAACACGTCACTGTTCACTAAGCCTCAGTGTTCACAACCATAAAATGAAGACACCACCACCTACGTGGTTGGCTTTTTAAGAATTAGAGATAGCATAGGCTTTGGAGTAAGACAGAATTGGTTTCAAGGACAGACTCTGTCTCCTGCTAACTGAGTCCTTCCAAATCTGTGTCCTATAATGATAAGATTTCGAAATAACAGCACAGAGGTGTTGGCCTGCCACACAGTGAGCACCGGATAAATGCCAATGATCACCCTGACACAGGTACAGCTCGGGTAGGGGGCACAGTACAATGTTTAAAGGCGGGAGCTTGGAGGCTATCCTCCCAGGCTTTGCCACTTACTAACGGTGCTACCTTGCATAAGCTGCTCAACCTGCCTGTACCTCAGTTTCCTCATTTGTAAATGGGGATAATAATAGTACCAACTTCAGGGTGTTGTCTTGCGAATGGAATAAATTAATACATGTAAAGCACTAGAACAATGCTTGGCATAGAGTAAGCACTTGATAAATGTTAGGTGCTATTAATAGTGATGTTAACAATAATATTAATCACCAAGTAGAATAAGGAGGAGAGACTGGGACATCGGCATCACAGGGAATATTTTGAGAAGTTCCTAGGAAGCCATTTCTGGGCAAGTTCTTACCCTCTGAGAGAAAAGCTTCCACGGAAAGGACCTGAGCTTGGAGGCTCCTGAGCAAAAAATGCCTGTCCCACTGACCAGGAGGCCAGCCTCTGGGGAGGCAAGTCAGGCTCCTTGGAAGGGACACTGTGTTCCCAGCCGCCTGACTCAGGGGAACAAAGGCACGTGTGTGTGGCCAGGGAGGAGGGAGGGCAATGTTTCCCTTTCAAGAGCAGAACAAAGGATCTGAGGCATAGTTGAGTGCGTTCCAATCCCCTCCCAAGCTATATCCCCCAGCCTCAGATGATTGTCCAACAAGGTTTTCAACCTAGCTTCCTGAAAGGTGCTGGGTGGAGTGGGGCAGGGGAGGGGGACAGGCTCCACTTCACTCTACCCTCTGTCATCAATCTCCAAGAGGCAAGATTTATATGTGACAGACCTCTAAGATCTCTCTTAGGAGACTCCATCCTGTGGAGGGGGGAAGGGGGAGTGATGAGGCGGGGCAAGGGAGGTACTGGGGGAACTCAGGGTTAATGGATAGCATGAGCCACTGCAAGTGACAGGCTAAATGTCCCTCTAGGGGGAAGTCCAAGATTGGAACTGCTACTGAGTGAAGGAGCCATGGAGAGAACCCAGGAGTTCTGACCAATCCCCCATTATGGGGCTGGGAGAAAGGTCTGATAGTACAAAGTAGAAATGCACTTTCTAAATCTTTAAAGAATGATCAGAGGCCAGAGAGAGAAGCTGGGTGAAGGGTGAAGGGGAGGAAGCAAAGTAACTGACAAGAGGAAAGGGAGGGACACATCCAAAAAAAGTAGTTTGTGGAGGGGGAGACTTCAGGGACATTACTTTCCAGTTTCCATACTCTCGCCAGCAGGAATCTGGCTGCTGGGTTGGGACAGGAAGCAGTCCATGGAAGTCATGGCAATGGCATTTCCTGAAGAGCAAGAGAAAAACCTCTAGTTCCGAGGGGAGCTCTGGAGTCTGCCCAAAAAGCCATGTAGCTTAGAGCGAGTTGTAAGGCTCCAGCTTGCCCTGAGAGTCTCATCAGGGATGAAACCAAGTAGCAATGGTTCCAAAGCTAGTTTCTTTCCGCACAAAAAAATTATTTGCAAAAATCAATATGTAGTAAATGGGAAGCCAGATGATGTGATTGAGGAAGCCGTAGGATGCAGCTGTTGTTTGCCGCTGGCTGATCCTAATAGTCACCACTCTGAGAACCTTAAGACTGGAACTAACGCACTGCATCTTCTGAAAAAGGCACCATCATAGCCATTTACAAGTTAAAAGACTTGCTCAAGGTCCCATAGCAAGTAAGTGGTCAAGTCCTGATTTGAAAGGCCCAACCCTGCATCTTCCTCCTGATGTAACTTCCGGCAAGCTGCTTCATCTTTCTCAGCCAGATTTCCCTCTGGCTCACCACCCTGGGTGGCCATGAACATAAAAACAAAAACAAAAACAAAAAACAAGGTGGATATGAAAATGCTAAGCACTGCCAAAACCGGTTTGGCTCAGTGGATAGAGCGTAGGCCTGTGGACTGAAAGGTCCCGGGTTCGATTCCGGTCAAGGGCATGTACCTTGGTTACGGGCACATCCCCAGTAGGGGGTGTGTAAGAGGCAGCTGATCCATGATTCTCTCTCATCGATGTTTCTAACTCTCTATCCCTCTCTCCTCCTCTCTGTAAAAAATTAATAAAGTATATATTTTTTTAAATGCTAAGCACTAAAGTGCTACATGAATCTGGAGTATTATTAGTGTGGGGTCAGTGATAAATTTCCCTATTATTGATACTGAGATTAGTTAACTTTTGCAGTTAAAGCACTGCAGTTTCTAACAGAAAAGAGCCATCCTAAAAACAAAACTAACGTGAAATGTAATACTGGAAGAATCTGCCTCAGGCCTTAGGCCAGTGTGAACCAGGATTCCTAGACTATCTACTTCGACCCTCCATCTTACAGATGAAGATAAGAATGAGACAAAGTCCCTACAAGGTGAGATGGTGAGTTGGAGCAGATTGAGAGTACAACTGGGTTCCTATCCTGACTCTAGACCAGGGCTTGTACTACATGGCACAGGAACCCTATGGTGCTCCTGTTCTGACAGGAACACTGGTAAGGCATGTCTGCCCTGAGGGTCACTACTGCATCCAAAAAAGGGAGGCTGGATACTGAAGAGTCTGTGAATAGGTCTCTGACATGAGTTCTGTGGCAAAGAATAACTACAACACCAATATGTGCCAGGATCTATGCATCTTAGGCACACCTCATTAGGTCTTTGCCATGACCTTTTAAGCCAGGTATTATTTGTCCTAAGGCTCAGGAAATCCAAGGAGCTGGCCCAAGGTCACACAGCTAGATGTGACAGACATGTGACAGTTATTCAGACAGAGATATTGTAGCAATGGAGGAGGATGATTCAGGATACCACAATCGGAGAATGATCCCTGAAGAACATCTAACTCATTTAGTCCTCATTCTGTGACCTCTAAGTGGACCCATCAATATGTGTAAGCTTGGTCTTATTTTTCAGTCCCTTTTCACCACTTCCACCTCTACCTCCTGATCCAAGCCACTAGTTTTTTCACCTGACAGTTGCACCAGCCTCTTCACTGGGCTCCCAGTGGCCACCCTTGAAGAATTCAAATCATTTCACCTGGCCTCTCTCATTTAACCAAAACTAAGTCCTCATCAAAGTCTGTAATGTCCCATGTGATCTGACCTCCGACTACCTCTCCCCCACTCAATCTCAACCACGCTGCACTGTCACCTCTTACCACCCGTCCCAATGTTTCTTCTCTAGCTGCTTAACCTTCTTGCTAAACCTTGAACATGCCAAGCATACTCACTCCTGAGCCCATTTTCTCTCCTTAGAAAACTTTTATGCAGGTATCGTCCACTACTGCATCTTCTTCAGGTCTTGGCTCAAATACTAACTTTTGGTGACGCCTTCCCTAACCACTCTTAAAATTGCAGCCCCACTTCCCTTGCTAGGTATGCCCTAGGCCTCAACCTGTTTTATTTTCTTCCTAGCACTTACTAACACCTAATATATGATATATATACACATATATATGTAATTACATGTTTATTGTCTGTCTCTCCCCACTTGAATGTAAGCTCCACAAGGACAGAAAATTTGTTTTATTTAATGTTGTACCTCTGGTACCTAGGACAGCCTGGCATACAGTAGGAGTTTGATAAAGACTGTTTGGATCAATGAGTAAATAAATGATCAGGTAAAGGGCAGTTTCCATTACTATTATTCTGGTTTAATATATATCTGTTTCTTCAGGAATTGATTTGGCATCTCAGCCTAAGACCTCTGTTCAGTGCTCAGGAAATAAGTATGGAAAAAACAAGTATTGATTAGGACACTCAAGAAGTTTCTAAACCTGATAAGAGACTTGGTAAATTTTAGAAATGTCTTATTTACACTAATTTAAATTCTACCACTGCTCTTTTCCTCTCATTAATGCAAGTTCTGCTGGGTACCCTACTGATTTTTTAAAAAGGCTTAGCCCCTCTTCCTTCAGATATTTGAAACTGGTGATCATATTCTCCTGGGTCTTCTCTTCCCCAGGCTAAACAAAAAGACCCAGTGGGATTGTGTGACTCGAGTCTGCCAGCTGAGAATGGGGAAGGCAGACTGCGGCTGGAGGAACAGAAAAGAAGCAGATCTAGGAGCAGAGTGACTTCTTCAAAGAAAAGAGATGGAGTCCTTGGGGAAGACTCCATGGAATTAGGTTGGAGGTTGGGCTAGGGACAAGACCCTGCTAATTACTGTAGTAGGAGATTATGTTGCTGTAGAAGAGCAGCTCACTGAAAATTACTCCTAAACTAACCATGCTACCCCCCAAAAAGCCCTACACAGTTACTGAAAGAAAGCCCATACAGAAAGGCTGAGGGTGCTGGAAAAGCCAAGGCTGCTGGGCATAGAAGAGGACACTCAAGCCCACTGCCCTCAGGACAGGAACCTGTTTGGGAAGAGAGAGCTAACAACTGCTCCTTCCTGCAGCCCAAACAAATCAGGTGACGGGGTGACGGCCCACACAAAAGTCGAGGGAACCCTCTGGGTTCTGCTGGGGATCCCTGAAAAAATACCTGGGTATTTTTATATCAGAAGTTGGAAGGGTGCCATGGGGCTAATGTGGAAATTTGTTCTAGGAAGTCTAGAAAACCCAGTGATGGTGACAGAGTTCTAACAGCAACCTCAAGTGTACATCCACAAGAACTGGGTGCTCTGAGGGGGAGCCCCTGAAACACTTCTATCTCACTTTGGGACCTGAATGAGATTACTAAAAATTTCCACGTTTGGGGTTTCTAATGGGGTTTCCCCAAAACCACAGAGCTGTAGCAGCTGCTATGATCTGCAAAGGTCTCTGAGGTGTCTGAGCAGACATTTTCTATACAGAAGAAGCCAGACCAGACAAGAAGAAGCATACAGAAAGCAGAAGACCACAGCCACGCAGACTGGAAAAGACCAAATTATGTATTCTCCCCCTCACACCTCACTGCTCTCAGCAATGGTGCTTCCATCTAGCTGTGGGGTTTCCCAGGGACAGCAATCCCAAAATGTCTTAGCCCACCAGGGTCCTCAACCATAACTGTCCACATTAACACTGGAAAGCCCCAGTAACACTCTGTCCCTCTAGGGAAGGTCACATTACATATACCATTTTGGGTGAACATCTTGGGGCTGACTTTGTTTCCTCAGAAACTCTGGGGGCAAAGTTCAGTCTTCTCAGGCAGGTAAACTATTCAGTCTTCTGAGGCAGGTAGTCTATTCAAAAGGGGTGCTTCCACCCTACAATTAAGGCCCAGGAAGGGCCTTTGTTCTAGATCCTTTACTAGAGTCAAGCTATGGTAGGTGGCTATCATTACTGCATTTTACAGGGAGAGATGGATGAACAAGAGACAAACAGGTTCAGCATCTTGCGAGGTGACCCTAAGCAAGCAAGCAGTGATGTGGCTATGAGTCTGGAATTCCAGTCCTTGGAGCATCCCTTCTTCCCGCATGCACAATTCTTATCTATTGGGAGGGCCTGAGAGGGTCTTAACAATGAAAAAATTAACAGGAAGCCCACTCTGACTGGGCAAACTCCTGATACCCACTTGAGTTTACCAGGGCAAGAATCTGAGTCTACGTACTTGCCTTTGGGAACTGCTACTGCCAATAAAGGCACTGTTCTTCCCGCAGCTACTAAACAATGCCAAGATCACAGCCCAGAGTGAGCACCTACCTCCGCAGGCATGTTTTACTCAGCCCAACAGCATCTGGCTTTCTGTGCTAGTCACTTTATTATTCCTTGGAGAACCTGATATGGATGGAAAGAGTTTTAGACTTTGGATTCAGGCCAACCTATGTGTAACTTCTCATTCAGTCACTTAACTGGCGGTGGGGCACCTGGGGCCAAGTCACTCAGCTTCACAGGTAAACTGGGAATAAACCTACCTACCTTAAAGGTTATTGTGTGTAATACATAAAATAGCATGTCATTTCCATGAGGAAAGGTTCCGTGTCTAGCTTGAGGCCAGCATCTAAAACAGTGTATGTGTCATAGTAGATGCTCAATAATTATAGCTGCATAAGTAAAAGACCTAAGACAATGCCTTGAACATAATATATACTCCATCAAAGGCTCGTTTCCTTTCCTTTTCCTGTAGGGATGTTAAATTTAGAGAATACCCAAGGATGAAACAACCCATAACTCCTATACTCATGGATCCCCCTCCAGCCACATCCTCCTGGGAGGTTATGAGATGCCACTGTAGCAGCCAGTCGGTGCAGCTCAAACCAAATGGTACCTGAGAGGAAAGTGGGCAGGAACCTTCCACCCAAAAGATCCTGAGTCACCCTGGCCAGTTTGGTTCAGTGGATAGAGCATCAACCTGAGAACTGAAGGGTCCTGGGTTCGATTCCGGTCAAGGGCACATGCCCAAGTTGTGGGCTCAATCCCCAGGAGGCAGCTGATCAATGATTCTTTCTCATCATTGATGTTTCTATCTCTCTTTCCTCTCTCTTTCTCTCTAAAATCAATAAAAATATATTTCAAAAAAAGAAAATAAAAAGATCTTGAGTCAATTCCTTCTGGCCTCAGGGAAAATGCATGCCTAGAAATAGTTCTGACATAACTGGCTCATCTGCACACATCCCCTCTGTTCACCAAAAGGAAGAGGTATATGGTATGTCGTCCAACGGGCTCTGGTAATTCTTGAGCAGTGAGCAAAATGGAATTTCAATCCAGTGGCTGTCTAATGAACTTGCCCAGTGCTGCTGTGTCTAAAACCTCTTTTCACATGCAACACTGATGACTGGCATCTCTGGTCCAGGTAGCCCTCTGCAGAGGCTGGCTGGTAGACCAGGCAACTCTCCCAGATTGCCTTTTGTTAATAGCTGGCAACAACCTACCTGTTAATAGGACCACTGGCCAAAGACAACAGTCATGCAAAGTTGGCAAAAGGCCCAAGTCTACCTAGAGATGCTTCAGAGGGTGTGTCTGAATGAAGCTTTGGAATCCTGTCCCTCCGGTAATCAGCTGAACAAATATTTGCCCCCAAAGAGAATCAAAGCAGGGGGGAATGAGAGGTCATTGAACAAACCAACAGGAACTATTTAATCATTTATCCCCCCAGGGAGTTCATTTACAGAATGGCTTTCAAGTCTGGTCAGCCTTAGCTCAGGGAGCCCTCTCCTTTACCTCCCCCAAGCCCACCCCAATCATCTGACCTTATTGACTTATCTCTTTTCCTCGTACAAGTACTGGCAGTGGGAAGAGTTGATGAAGTTGCAAAGAAATAGGAAATAAGAAAGGGGGTGGGGTTCCAGAGCAAACTCAGAGGTCTCTGCTCATTCGTAAACTGAAGTGCCTGCCACGCCCTAGGCCCAGCCTATGGATAATTGCATTCTTGACATTCCTGAGTCCATGGTGCATGGCCCCTTAAATCTTAGTTTCTTCAATAGATGACTTATTTTGCACAGCTTGCTCAATTTTAGGGGTATTCTGAAGGAACATAATACCTCTCCTAAGCCCCCACCTCCCCTAGGCAGGGAGATAGCACGAAAATAGGACTTAGGTCACTGTAGAATAGCAAAAATTGCCTACAATGACCACCGATACAGAATTTCCCACCACTGTCCCATCCTGGTTTGGTGACAAGCAAAAGAATTCTCTCTCCTAGGAAAGCAATGAGGCATGCCTCCTAGCCCCAACTGCTACAGCAAACGTGTTGGTGTCAGTCACTGTGCTCATATTAGCTCCAAGATTACAATACCCTGCAAGGCAAGGAGGGCTTGCCACATTTTTTTAGCGGAAGAAACTGAAGCTCAAGGTAAACTGGTCTGTCCATTGTCACACAGCTAGGTAAGTGACAGTGCTGGGACTCACACCCATGTCCGTTTGATTCTGAAGTCAGTCACTGAATCTTGATGTCCCTAAGCCCCACAGACTCAGTTCTTGCTTTGCCAGCAACAGTGCTCGGTGAAGAGGCCCCAGGGCCCTGGCCGGAAAGCAATAGGCAGAACAGCTGGAGCTCCCCAACCGACCCTAGGTAGTGAAGTACAAAGTTCAGGCTTAATGTGTGACACTGCAAGAGCTCAGGAAGCAGGCCAACCATGTAGAAAGTTGCACGCGTTAGAGCAAACGAACGCAGGGGTGCAGCACAAACACAACTGGCCACTGCCCCTAAAACCAGGCAATCCTCAGCCATCCACGCCAGTGGGAACTCTGCCTGGCCTTGCCTTTTTCTGAGAGAATATCAGGTATGCAAACTTTAAAATAAAGAGAATTTGATGTGGGGGAGGGAAGCCCAGAATAGACTTGACATCCCCGAGAGAGGTAAGCATGGAGGGGCTTATGGGTCACTGATACTACCTTCTCTAGGCCTTATACCCATCACCCCTTTGGGTGGTGAGCCACTATGTCAGGGTGAGGGGAACACTGGACTAACTTCCCACTCTCACATGAACAGGCTATGATTTCCTCCACCGAGGAACTGGAGCACAGGCATGAAGGAGTGGGGTCATGAGGGTGACCAGGATGAAAAATGCCCCGTCCTTCAGGAACTAGGTCATCTGTTCTTTTAGAACTGATAACCTTTTGCAGTGCTGAGACCAGTTCATGTCTCCTTAACAACACGTCCAGTAACCATCCAGCACAACAGGAAGAGATACGGGGAAAGGCCGATGAGATCTCTCTGAGCGGAGGCCAAGGAAAAGGGACACACAAGGAGGGGGCGTGGTCCTTACCCAGCCTCCGTTCTCCTGGATCCAAGGCTCTAGGTGGTCATTCAGGTAAGTGGCCATCCAAGTTGCAATCCGACTCACCAATACCTGCATCTCCTTGTCCACACTCTCCACGCACAGTGCCCCACCGAACGAGAAAAAGGCCACGATGCGACCCCAGTTCACCCCATCCCGGAAGAGTTCGTTCACGACTTGCTCAAAGCTCTGATACGCGGTCCCCGGGGTGATGTGGAGCTGGGATGTCAGGTCACTGAACGCCCGCCGGTACCTCAGTTCAAACTCATCGCCCGCCTCCCGCAGCGCCTGCTTCACGGCCGCCATGGGAATCGCCTCCCGGGCGTCCAGGCGGCTGCTGTGGCCGGTGGCTCCGTTCACCGCAGGGCTGTCCACCGGGTGCCAGGACGGGTTGCCATTGATGGCGCTGGGGGTGTCCACCTCTGCTTCAGTCCCCTCTGGGGCCTCAGTTCTGTTCTCTTCCACTTCGCTAAACTGACTCCAGCTGTATCCCTTCTGGGAGAGCTTGTAGGAGAGAAAGTCAACCACCAGTTCCCGGTTGCTCTGAGACATTTTTATAATAGGGATGGGCTCCACCAGTCCATTGTCCGGAACACCTGCTCCACTCACCGAGTCTGGTCTCGGGCTAGTGGTTGCCTTCTGAGATCCGGGGCCGAGATAAGGTTCTGAAGGGAGAGAAAGAGCTTCAGGAAGGGGAAAAAAATAAAATAAATAAAAATTAATATGCAAGCCATCTAACCCACAGCATCGCATTCCACCTCCTCCAGATAACCACAACCGGTTTCTTTGTGGTTCTTAGGGAGGTCTGAGACTAGCTTCTCAAAAGACTTCCATCAAGTCAAATGGAAAGCACCAGCAAGCAGTCAGTCTCTGAACCATCATCACACCGGCCTCTTCCCCCCCACACCCCCGCCCCCCCAAACCCCGGCCACCTCCTCTTCCCCGAAGCTGTCGGCCCCCCATCCCCTCCACCCCCGCTCCACCTACATTCAAATGCGTCCCAGGCTACAGGCAGGCAGGTGCAGTCCCCGGACGATCTTTTGTACCATGGGGCCGGGGAGGAGGAGGTGGCTGCCGGGATGCCGGTAACTCAGCCGGCCTCACGGGCAGCGATCAAAAAAAAAAAAAGAAAAGAAAAAAAAGAAAGAAGAAAAAGAAAAGAAACCGGCTGCGGCCGGAGGGATCATGCGAGCCGCCGGCTGCGCGTCCGGAGGGCGACGCAGGAATTAGGAAGCCCGGGAGCCGCCGCCGCGCTCGCTTCCTCCTCCATCGCCCAGAATGAGGGCGGCCTCCGCACCGGCAGTCCAGCCCCCTCGCTCGCTCCGCACGCTCCCCGCTCGCTGCCTCCTACTGGGAGCCGGGAGAACTCTCCCGGAGGCGGCGGCGCGGGCTCTAGGGCTTTCTGTTGATGTTGTTGTTGTTGTTTCTATTTAAGTACCGACCCCGGGTGGAGGCTTCCGAAACCCCCGGCAAGGACTTCCCTCAATGGGGCTCAGGGCTTCGAGGAGGGGCGGAGGGAAGGGGAAACCGCCTGGCCTCTGAGGTCTGACTTCGGAAACGCCGCCGCCGGGCCTTTCCGGGAGGCTGAGGCCCGGGGACCCCCCAGAAACGCCGCCGGTCGCCTCTGAATCCCCCCAAGGCCCTGGGCGCGGCGGCGGCGGCGGCGGCGGCAGGGGGCTGCCGGGCCCTCCATTTCCCGCACCGGCACAATGGCCGCCGGCGCCCGCACAAAGCCGGGTGAGGGTGCGGGTGCGGGTGAGCGCCGGGCCGCTCCGGGCAGGGACAGGGTCAGGCCTGCTCGAGGACCCCACAGCGGAGACCACGTTTTCCCGGAGCCGGGATCCCGGCGGCTTCCTGGCGCCCCCCTCCCGGCAGGGCTGGGGGGTCGGGGGCTGCACCTCTCCGGAGCCGAGGTGGGTGGGCTGCGGCCCCACGGCTCCTCCCGCGCCCGGGGCCGGGTACCCGCGGGGCCACCGCCCAGTTACTAAGCAACCGCTCTCCCTCAGGGGCGCCCCCTAGACCTTTCTGGGAGAAGGGGGTCTCGTCCCCGGCGGCCCGCCCCCAGGACCAATCAGAGAGCCCCGTCGGCACGGAAGCGGGACGGCGAGGGCTCCCATTGGGCGCAAGGCCTGCCACACACAGGGGAGGCGGTGCTCTCACCTGTGAGCCCCGCGAGCCGTGGGGGGCCACATTCCCCCTGCGTCGACCAGGTCGTTTCCAGATGCGAGGGCTCCTGGCGGCCGGGTTCCGCGCCGCTGACCCGGGCCGGCCTACCTTGCTGATGGCTCCCTCTTTCTCTTCCGAACGAGCCGGCCTCAGTTTCCCCTGAAGAGACCGGGAGAACTTGCAAGCTCAGTCACTTCCGGTGCCGAGGCAGCGCGCGCGAGCCCGAGACGCAAAGGGAGTGCACGCCTTGAGGACTGGCGTCAAGACCTGGAAGAGAGCGCCCCCTTGCGGTAGATCTCGGGAACCAAGGACGAGGAAAAAAACCAACGTTTACATTCCTATTTCCATTCATTCATTCATTTAGTCATTTTCATCTACCTGTCAGCTTATATATCGAAAAAGCATTTCGTGTGGCTAAGAACATTAAGTTTAGGATTCCAACTCCAGTTAGTCAAGTTATTCAACAATCCTGTGCCTCAATTTTCTTAACTGTAAAATGAGTGAAAATCAACCTCCATCACTGAGTTACTGTGAGTATTAAAATAATTGATATTTGCCCTGTCTCCCTCCCCTCCTCCACACACACCGGTAGTTTAGATGGTTAGATTATTGTCCTGATGCGCCAACGTTGGGAGTTGGCTGAAAGGTCAGAGCACATTCAAGGATCAATCAATGAATGCATAAGTTAGTGGAACAATAAATCGATGTGTTTTCTCTCTCTCTTATTAATAAATAAAAATAACAAATAAAAGTTATTATTTGTAAAGTCCGTAGAATAGTGTATGGTCCAGAGTATATGCTTTATGAATTCATCAAATGTACCGTGTTTCCCCGAAAATAAGACATCCTCCGAAAATAAGACCTACTTACAGGTTTCCTTCTGAGTGAAATATAAGGCATCCCCCTGAAAATAAGGCTCCCCCCCCCCCAGGCTAAACATGAGAGATTTGGTCCACTGATTCTGAAAGAAATGGAGTCACAAGAAATTCACCAGGAAATTCAGGAATTGGATTGTTATGATGATGTTTCCAGAAGATGATGACATGATTGTCATTGAATAAATGAGTAAATTCTTGATACTGTAGGATTCACAGTTTGTCTGGTTTGTGTTGACAACTACCGTACTACCGTACCGTATACAGGAATTAAATTTCCTTTATTTTCATTTAACAATAAATGTGTACAGTATTCTTCTTCATGGAAAAATAAGACATCCCCTGAAAATAAGACCTACTGCATCTTTGGGAGCAAAAATTAATATAAGACACTGTCTTATTTTCAGGGAAACAGGGTAGTATTGTTTGGGTTGCTAAAGACAAAATTGGGAACAAGACACGTCCCTGACCTTTTAAACCCTTTAGATAGAGAGAGACAGTAAACAACTAAGAAAATATACAAACAAGGTAATTTCAAATAGTGACTAGGGCTAGGAAGAAAAAGTCAGGGTACTGTAATAAAGAGGGTGAAGGGAGAGTTGCTACTTAGACTGGGTATTAAGAATGTAAGCACTGCCCACTGAGGGAGAGAAGCATTTATTCAGCAACTGTTTATGTAAGGTGACTAGGGATGCCCTCTAGTGTAAATTTAATTGGTTAAAAATTAGAGCCCTAACCGATTTGGCTCAGTGGATAAGCATCAGCCTGCAGACTTAAGGGTTCCAGGTTCGATTCTGGTCAAGGGCATGTACCTTGGTTGCAGGCACATCCCCAGTAGGAGGTGTGCAGGAGGCAGCTGATCGATGTTTCCCTCTCATCGATGTTTCTAACTCTCTATCTCCCTCCCTTCCTCTCTGTAAAAAAAAATCAATAAAATATTTTTTAAAAATTAGGTATACAGGAAAATGGGATATTAAAAATATACCAAAAAGCATAGATTAAAAAGTAAGTCCTCTTCTCACCCTACTTTCCAATCCCCAGTTCCCCTTATAGAGGTTCACTTTTATCTCTGTAGTCTTTCAGAGATTGTCACTGTATGCACAAGCAAATCCTATATAATAAAAAGGTAATATGCAAATCGACCCTCGCACCCTCACAAAGACGGCTGCCCATAACCAGGCCATCAGGGGGGTTAGTGAGGGATGACCAAACGACTGAACAAGCAGGCTGCATGGGGCAACCAGGCTGGTGGGGGACAGTTGCAGGCAACCAGGCTGGGGGGTGAGGGCCAGTTGGGGTGACCAGGCTAGCAGAGGGGAGCAGTTGGGGGCGACCAGGCCAGCAGGAGGCGGGCAATAAGAGGCGACTAGGCCAGTGGGGGCACAGTTGGGGGCGGTTAGGCTGGCAGGGGGGCAGTGAGGGGGGACTAGGCCAGCAGGAGGGCAGTTAGAGGTGACCAGGTTGGCATGGGGAGTAGTTAGGAGCGATCAGTCTGGCAGAAAGGGGCAGTTGAGGGCAACTAGGCTGGCGGGGAGGAGGGAGGCCAGTAAGGGGTGACAGGCTGGCAGGGGAGGGGCAGTTAGGAGCAACCAGGCTGGCAGGGTAATTAGGGGTGGAGTAATTAGGGGTGATCAGGCCGGCACACAGAGGCAGTGAGGGGCTATCAAGCTGGCAGGGTGGGGGCAGTTAGGGGTGACCAGGCAGGCAGGTGACAATTAGGAGCCAGCAGTCCAGGGGTCAGGCATCCTCTGAGGGGTCCAGTATTAGAGAGGGTACAGGTTGGGCTGAGGGGATTCCCCCACCCTGGTGCACAAATTTCATGCACCCGGCCTCTAGTTTATATGTATAAATGTTTTACACAAATACTTTCACATCTTGCTTTTTTCACTGTGCTCTACATTTTGGATCTGCCTCAATTTTTTTAAGTTAACAACATTATAAAGATGTCATAATTTACTTGCTCAATCCCCTATTTGGGAACACTTAGGTAGTTTCCAATCTCTTTCTTCCCAAACAATGTTATAACTTGTCCACTTGTTATTTTGCATACGTGGGAGTTTATCTGTTAGGTAAATTCCTGGGAATGGAATTATCAGCAAGTGAGTATATGGATTTGTTTTCGCTTTATTTTAATCGATATTGGCAAGGCGGTCTCCACAGCGGTGGTACCAGTGTGTCCTACCATCAATGAATGTGCCAATTTCCTCACATCCTGAACGACACAATGTGTTATGAAACCTTTTTATCCTTGCCAATAAGATAGATTAAAAACTGCCCTTGCCAAAACCGGTTTGGCTCAATGGATAGAGCGTCACCATTTGGACTGAAAGGTCCCAGGTTCAATTCCGGTCAAGGGCATGTACCTCGCTTGCGGGCACATTCCCAGTGGAGGGTGTGCAGGAGGTAGCTGATTGATGTTTCTCATTGATGTTTCTATCTCTCTCCCTTTCTCTTTGTGAAAAACCAATAAAATATATATTTTTCAAAAAACACCAAAAACTGCCCTAGCCGGTTTGGTTCAGTGGATAGAGCCTACAGACTGAAAGGTCCCTAGTTCAATTCTGGTCAAGGACACACGCCCAGATTGCAGGCTTGATCCCCAGTAGGGGATGTGCAGGAGGCAGCCGATCAATGATTCTCTCTCATCATTGATGTTTCTATCTCTCTCTCCCTCTTCCTTCCTCTCTGAAATCAATAAAAAAATATATTTTAAAAAAGATAAAAACCAAGATGTGCTTTTATTTTTTATTTCTTTTTAGTAAGAATAAAATTGACTCATATTTATGAGTCTTTTTTTAGGGGAGTCTTGTTCTGGTGAATTCTTTGTTTATTTCAATTGCCCTTTCTTCAGTTGGTCTTTCTGTTGAACTTTTTTTCTCATTGATTTATAGAAATTTTTATCCTTTCTAAATATAAGTTGTAAATATTTTCCTAATGTATTATTTACTAGGGGCCCAGTGCATGAATTTGTGCACCTTGAAAGGAACTGTGGGCTGTGAGCCCCCCCGCCCCCATTCTTCCTACCACAGCCCCGGCCCGGTCCTCCCTCTTCTGGCAGCCCTGCTCCCACCACCACTGTTCCCACGCATT